GACCACGAGGTCGTTTGTATAAGCCCGCTGGATAGCTTTTTCAAAGCAGAAGAGCGGGCTAAAAAGATAGATCAAGTTCGAAGTAGAGCATTCTAGCTCAAAAATTGGATTTAAAAAAAAACAACAAAAAAACCAGAGGTCCCACAATAGGGTATTTCGGGTAAGCGAAGCAGCGGAAACGGAACGGCCGAGCGGCTGCTGGATCCGTCTCAGCCTGCGAACTGCGCATGCGCAGTATACTCTGCGCCGCCCCGCAGCCTCTCCCTCTCCCCCGCGCATCAGCAGCAGAGATGCAACCAGCGGTGAACTGGCCGGTTCCGTTTCCGCCGCTCCGCTTACCCGAAATACCCTATTAAGGTTTTTATAAAAACATTTTTGTTCTTACTTCTACAGGGGTCACTCATCAAAGTAGAGGCCTGTGGGCGAAAATTTCGTCCATTTGGCTCTATCTTTAACCGTTTAGGCACCAGAGAGAGTTTTCTAAACGAAAATTACCGCAAAGCATTTTGATGTTTTTTCTCAGATATTTGATGGTTTCCGGTGGGGTAACTCGTTAAAATAAAACCCCGAGGAACAAAATTAGTGACTTTTAGGGCCAAATGCCCCGACTCGGGTGTCAGCCGCAGGACTAGGTAGATGTATGCCAGGCGCGTCGCAGCGTAACATTGTTTCGTGAGATATCGCGAAGCCTGTTACGCGAGACGTTGTCTGGCTTACATCTACCTTGTTTAGTTATGTTCTTCAGTAAATCGCGAGACTGAAATGATCGGGCCGCAGGCCCGACTGCTGATCGGAGTTGCCGGCGCAGCGAAGTGGAGCTGGCAACTGCGTTTGGCGGAAGGGCGGGCCTGCCTGTTGTCTCTGGTACCTCGGGTACTCCGTAGGTTCTAAAGTGTTCTTGGGCAACCCGACAGTGCTGCCAACACACCGGAAGCCGAGATTTGAGCCCAGGAAAAAAGGTTTCAGGGCTTAAAGTCGGCCGGAAGCTTATCACCACTGTGATCTCGGCCGACTTTGGAGGCTGAGACCTTTTTTGAATCGGGTACCACGGGTACTCCGTAGGTCCCAAAGTGTTCTTGGGCAACCCGACAATGCTGCCCACATACCAGGAGTCGATGATATAGTTGAATACTTTTGCTGACACGGCAAAACCTTTTGCTTAAAAGCAAATAGTTTGCTGACACAGCAAATAATTTTGCTGACACAGCGAGTACTTTTGCTGACACAGCAAATAATTTTGCTGACATAGCAAATAATTTTGCTGACCCAGCAAATAAATTTACTGCTATCTAGTTACAAATTTTTCTTTTACTATGGGTTTGTTTATCAGTTTACACGAAGTGTTGACGTTTTCATGTTAAAAACTGAGACGAAAAATCATCAAAAGTTAAGGCCGTATCATCTGCTTCCACGTTAGCTTAGGTTTTTCCTTATTTTTCCAATTTGTGTTCAGTGCAGTACCCCACCCCCACCCTGAAGTGGTTAGATCGCTCTAATCACCACCAGAGTTCAAATCCCTTGCACCCCCCCCCCCCCCCCCCCCCTCTACATCAGGTACTTTTAGCGAGTAGTGAACTTGAGTAATTACTATGCAATAGAATAGATTTGGAAGTCCACTAGAAATACTGGGAAGTCTGGTTACTATCCAACAAAATACATGGTTGATTGGTTTTGGTAAACACATAACTGTCCCCAGGTGCACAACCATCTGTGCTCAATCAGAAGGAAGCATTTCAGGAAGATGTGGCCAAGAGAGACATATTAACCATGACTTTACAAGTTGGACCACCCTTGTGAAAACGAACAGCTCCGAAAGACATCCGAAGCGGACTTGCTCCGTTTTTACTCCGACTAATGTGTTTCGGACTGTTTCGGATGGCTCCGTTTATGTTATAAAACGTTTGAAATCCGGATATTAAACGGAGCAGTCCGACTTCAGTCCGAATCGGACAGTCCGATTGGCGCCCGAGACCGCGAACTTCAGTTCAACCCGCAGTTGGCTACTGTTGAGAAGGTTAACCTGTGTGCTGTTGGAAAGTGGAGAAGTAAGATTCCTAAATATTAATCATTCTACAATTCTTAGTTTGCAAGTGTATTAATTTTTTTGTGGAGCCAATCTGCATATTTGATTGGTTTCACACTTGAACTCTACCACCTGCCTATACCATACATGTTTCCGATTTTGCAGGAAATGAATAAACCTGTAGGGAAATTGACAGTGAGCGAGGTGGGGCAGCTGCTGTCCCAAAATGAAGTGGACGATGAGGCAGTCTCCATTCTTAAAGGTAAGTGAAAGTAACGACTTTAAGTCCAGATAAGTTTGGTTCTTCCACCAACTTTCTACCCTAGAAATATTTGTAGTCCTAAAATCATTTTAGGCACTTGATATGACATCTAAAGTTAGAGTGGCCCTCTTCCTGTATGGCCTGTAATTCGTTGGAACACATAACAACTAAGGAACATATGTAAATTTTAGTGATAGGTGACTGCTAATGTCTGCACGTTACTTTTTGGCTGTAACAAATATTTGTTATGTTGTGTGCTATTTGTTAATTGTTAAATATGTCTTTTCAACACAACAAAAATCAAAGTTATATCCTTGTTTTAAAATTGTTGTAAGTCTTTTGTTGTGAAGTATCGTCTCCAACATAGCTCTTCAACTCTTGAAGATGTTTTTTTACTTGAGTTCAATAATTACTGATAAGTGTATAACAATAGTTTATCCCTATATCCCTAAATACTTTGTGGTCACTTTCATGTCCTCGGCTATTCATCAGGTATTACAATATCAAGGGATTCCTCATTATTGTTTATTTAAATTAAACTGCGGCTGGTGCTATGGTATGGTGGAGTGTAGGAAGGGGTAGGGCATACCCAAATCATGAGGCATTGCCAACTTAGATTACTAAAAAAGGGGGCGAGTAGTGCTATGGATATGACAGCTTCGTTCCCTGTTAGTTTATCTTTATCGAAATTATTAAAAAACAAATATTATTAGTCATAAAACTCATCTAGTGTGGAGTAGGGTTAAATCGTCGGCAAAAAAATCACCAGAAACATTAACATTCCGCAAGTGGTCGTGTTGTCGTGGTTAGTGAAGGCCGTGCCGATGCTATTTACACGCCGTTTTTCCACTATTCCCCTGAACGAAACTGATAGAGGAGATTTTGTAACGAAATAGTCGGAGTTTCGTAGTGCTCGTCCATTGTACACATTTCAGACATTTTGTGGTTAGTTTCAAGTTGCACAACATCGAGAAAACATTAGTTTGAAGTTGAAGTCTAGCAGTCGGTGTTTGAAACAAGGCTAGCTGGATGGTGAGGTTGATAGTTTTTAACATGATGTTTGTCGAATATTTACTCTTTTTTAACCGTCTCTGAATGTATCTCCTTGTTCATTTAGTGTAGAACAACAATTGAGATAATTGTTTTGCATTTTTCGGCGTTTGCCTCCTGTTGTGAAATGGAGCTTGAAAAAACAAGGTTAGCTTATTTTCATGGAATGTTGTATCTCTTAACTTATTTCTTTCATATTGAGCTGTATTTAGTTAGTTTGGTTTACTCCTAATAAAATGCAGCTATATTTTTTTTTTACTCTTGTTTCAGGAATGATGTAAATCAAACCATTTCGATTCTGTCTAAAGCATCACAATTTTCTTCTGCTCTTGGCCAAAGGCATTGCTTTGGTTAGTTTGCTTATTTGTGTGAGGTGTGTATGTGACGGGAAGCAGAATTAAGCATCGGTAATGTTCGACAATAGTTCATGTATGATTTGTTTCCCTTCATCTTTACTAATAATTGAAATATTTTCATTTCTTTTGCCGGTTAAGAAGTAGATATGGAGCCAAATTACATCTGTTCCAAGTGCCATGTTATCGTAGAAGGTGGAATGAAAGGTTTTCAAGCTCACATGAGAACACCAGATCATTTACCTCCTTACATTTGTGGCCACTGTAGTTTTGATTATGCTCATCTCTCTTCGCTCTATGTTCACTTGAGAAGACACCACCAAGTTGTTCAACCGCAACAATATGCTTCGCATGTCATCCACAATCCTCACCGCGTATCAATGTACCATGAGAATCTCATTGAAAAAATGTCAAAAAACGACAAAAGAATGGGCCTCTACGTCACGCAGTATTATTTTTGATACGCACAACTTTGCAAGCGTGTCACAATCACAATGCGAGTTTTTACAATACAAAATATGAAATGAGGAATAAGAAAATGAGTACACCATAGCACTTGTGTATTACCTTCAGATTTCAGATCTTCACTCCCATTGTCTGCATCCTGTAACAGTTCTGAAAGGAAAGGAGATGTGGAAGGTATTGCCATAAGGAATACAAGTAACATTACATGAATCAAGTAGGGTTACAATGTTATCAGTTTCACCTGTGCCACTTCCAGATCTTGCATTCACATCTCCACTAATCAGTACATACTTATATGTTGGAATGCATGAGCACAAGTCCTGTTTCAAAAAAACCAACCTTAGGTGGGCGATAAACACAGGCCATTAATACTCTGTCAGATTGTAACTTGAGTTCAATAATTATGTATTCAGGTTTATGGTCATATTGAGATGGTGATGTTGTTAACACGTTCACTTCAATATTATTTAGTACATAAATTGCCACTCCGCCAGCACCCTTGCCAATTCTATCATTCCTAAACACATTACAGCCAGGTAATTCTAGGGCTGTGCGATTTTTCGATTAATCGAAAACTCGATTCGATTTTTTTTGACATCGACGATTATTTTGAAGGGTCGATTTCAATACCTAATATCGAAAACAAACATTCGATTATTGACTATCGTCGATTTCGAACGATTTTCGATTTTTTCGATTTGTATTCGATATCGATTACACGTTACGTACGATACGATGTCATTCGCCGATCGATCGATCGACTTTCCTTGTAGCACCAAGAGGCTAGCGTGTGATTTCTGCCCCAACCAACGCAAAAATTGGGCCCATGTAGCACCTAGCGACTAGCGTCTTAGCTCGCTACCCACCTAGCGACTAGCGCCTCAGCCAAAAACCCGCCGCCACGCCACGCCGCCGCCGGACTACCAGCGCTGGGCTAGGGTGCGGGCGGGCGCGGGCAGGGCAGGGCACGACTCGGCAGTCAAATCACTCTACTTTTAGTAATAACATTAAAATTTTGAAGTGCTCAATCTGACTATGATTTGTAACCCACCCGCCGATAGCCGATTCGTTATTAACTGTTATCTGTCACTCGTCGGTAATCGATATCGATTAAGTCAATGGGGTGAGCATTTAGCTGAATGCTGATCAAGTACAGTTTAATTTTCAAGCATTTTGACGATTAATTGACAGAATTGCCAAAAATCGATTATTGAAATCGAAAAAAAGATCTAAAATCGAAATCGAAAACAATGGAAAATCGAATAATAATTGATTGAATTCGCATATCGATCAATGTTTCGATTTTCGATAATATTTAATCGAATCGAAGCATACTTCGATTATTTTGAAAATCGACGATTACGATTAATTTTCGGGGTCCGGCCCACTCACCCAGACGTCTTTCACCCAACACCCAACTGACCCAAAGTCCACTGATCCAGGGCCCAGTCACCCTCTATTATTCACCCAAGGTCCGTTCACCCAGATTACCACCTCACCCTCTCTCACCCAAGCCGAAAAAATACGCCCAAATAATCGAAGGTCGAGGAGTATTGCCTGAGTTCCGGAATATTGTCTGTGCCCAGGGTGCAGGCGCAGGGGGTATTTCATTTACACAACAATCGAAAAGCGTTCGTTGCCCGTGATATAATAAGAGAGACCCTACACAACATTTTCGGAAAAGTTTAGGCCATGGAACAAAATTTAGGCAAATTGCTACCAAGTGATAGAGGGGGATACATACTATCCCACAATGGTTATCTGTACAGCAATCATTCGGAAAACAAGGCCGGTACAAGAAGATACTGGGTGTGGACGAACATGACCCACATGTTTGCCTTCTCTATTAAAACATTGGCTTCTGGAGCCGCCTTCAGCATCCCTTCAATTAAGGTAGCGTACTTGATGCTCAAAGCCGTCTGGAGCACAATGTTCAGGCCATGAGTCATGCAGTAAGTCCAGTCGTAGCCTTCTAGAGCCTTCTTTATATCACTGCCTCCATCAGTGGTGAATTTAATACGATTTCGAAGTTCTGGGTCGATTCCAAGCTCGGTGACAGATTTCTTAATGATCTCTAGCAGATTTTCTGCTGTACTGGCTGCACCATCTAGCGGGACCAGAAAGAGAATGCGGTCGAGCATCTTCCAGCATTCAACTGCGTGCGCAGTACACACAAGATATTTTTCTTTTTTAAAATCTTCTGTGTAGCAGTCCAGTGTGCACCCGCAGCGCCCCTCCTCGATGGCTGGCAAAAGTTGTTCGACCGTTTTCTGTCGTGCAATGACTGCCTCTTCAGAAATAACATTAGAGACAGTGTTCGGACATGGGACGAGTTTCTCCGCGTGGAGGCGGCCAAACCTAGCATAACTAGCTCCCATGTCCAAAGCGGACTGAATTAGCATTACGAACCCTTCGTCTGCAACCGTGTTTGGTGGACGAAGTCCTAGAGCGCAGAAATGAGCGCATGCTACTTGAAAGAGATCTTTAGCTTCCTTCGGGGGATCCTTTTTTTCTTTAAAATTTGGGGTACCAACTTGCTCATGCTTTGTCATGCACACTTTCCTGTGCCTTGTCAAACTGTTGGAACCACTACCAGTGCTCCCCGTGTAGGAAAACAGCATGCAGCATCTAACACACTGAACAGCGTCTTCTGGCGCGTCACTGTCGCTATCTACAAGTAGGTGAAAATCGTCCCAGTGATCCCCGATGATTTTGAACGAGGGGTACACAATGCTTATGTGAACAGCTTTGCACTTCTTGTTCTTTAATTTTTCGGCAACAAGTTTTAGCCTCTCCGCTGTACCTTTCCTCTTTGCAGCTTTTGCAGCTTTTGCTGCCGCCTCAGCCTCAGTCTGCAAATGTGAATGAAAAAATGCATTACACTTTCATACTACGTACGAGGACGAGGTCCGGCTTCGGCTTGACCAGATGGTACTGACTACCCTTGAGCCTCAATTGGTGATCGCGGAAGTATCGGCCATACCTACGGAGGGGCCAAGGAGATGGCCGAGAATGTGCAGACCGACGGCTCTGCTGAAAATGTCGCTCTCCTCATTGGGATTAACAACGTCCTCGCCAAACAC